CCATAGATTTTTTGACAAATTAGCTCCAAACTATGGAAGTTTTTGTAACAATTTGTCATATTTCTCCTCAATTATTCTGCATTACTCGTTATTAATTATTCTCTCAATTGAATATATGTCACTTTGGATTATACATTTGTTAGTTCTAACCATTTGTACAAATGTATCTAGTAATTATTAGTTACATTACTATTCACTCGATAATCAATATAATTACGTTGTTAATAACTCATTCAACTTATCTTAGTGCTTTTCAAGTCAATAAACTGGCTGGTATCCAAAAAGACTGTATTCTAGTTTGTTTATTTAACAGTGAATGGAACGTAAGTTATATGCTTCCATACAACCGATATCCTTTCGAAATTCAGTGGTTACACAATGATGTAAAACTGGTATCTCACTAGCAAAGAGACCATGTCAAAAAAATCCTATGCATCGTATTCATTTTGATAAGATGCATTTCACGAAATTAGAAATAATTAAAGTGATTATCTTTTAATGAGATAGTACCGTAGATACGGTAGTACAACTAAAGGAATAAGGAAAACAACTTAATTCTCAACTAAATGATTTTAAAAAGGCTTTAGAATCTCGAAAGAACAGACATGTATGAAATGTACTAATGAATGTTGTAAAGACTACACTAATTTGATAAAGTATTGATTATAACTGAGACAGCTGAAATAATGATTTGTTCCCAAGACCGATTCCCAACTCTTTAAGCCAACAAATGTCAAAAAATATAGACACAAGCTTACAAACCGGAAATATGAATATATATTACTAACCAAATTAGTATAACTATGCATTGAGGGCTAGTTAACAAATACATCAAGGCAAAAAAATACGTCGTAAATAACTCAAAACACCTTCACTTATACCATAACAGTCACTTATATAAATAAGTCGCATTCTTAGTATTTCCAAGTACGCTCATAGAATAATTGTTTGGATTTCGGCATTCAAAAGCTTTTTTACATATCTTATTACCAATATATTATTTTACAAATACAACAGAATGTTAAAATCTGTAAACATGTGCTCTAATTAATTTATTTCAAATGTAAACATTAGAATAGTCGTCTTCTCATATAAACCTTGAGTTGCACAACAGGAATTGTCCAATTATTCAAGACTATGTTCCTATCCAAAAAAGTATATAAAAATTAACGAATTAAATTAGAAAAATGAATGCAAACCGTTATGTATACGATCCATTTCATTGCTCCATTTGTATAAGGACAGTGTGAATTCCAATTGTACCTGTAGAGTGAAATTCACATAACGGACATTTGCGTACTCGATATATTAGATCCGATTTATCAGTATCCTGGAGATAAAAAGAAGTGGACAATAAAAATACCAGTAATATGTTTTACCATAATCTATGCATAAGTGAATACGAAATTATGCAACAGTGATCAGATCGTTTTATGTAACTTTTGCGGCAGACATTTAATTGATAATGATTCGTTCACACCAACTTTTTATAATTTCTATGTATTATCTCCGTCTGTATTCTCATGATAAATCTAGGCTTGTTGAATTCTTTTTTTTGTAGTGCATACAACTGACAATCCTGTACTGCATATTCATCCTGACATCATCTGAGCATGATCGATTAAATCTACTAACTCAGAAAACGCAACACCTTATAAGTTAAGAAGTATTTAGCATCATCTCAATAAAATCCCAAACTAAATGGGATTTATTAACACATCAGGTAAATCACATAACACTAAAATACTGGGAAAAATCAGATGGTTGATATTATTTCGTAGCCCATGTGATTAGGTCTTAATTACAGGAAAACAATTTCAGTGATCTAGTTCAAGTATTGATTATTTCTCCTAGATTGTCTGTTTAGTACCAATACCCTTCAGCTAACTAATGACACGATAATACTGAGATAACAAAAAAAGCAAGAATTAACAACTATTGGTTCACAATCCACTTCACTTATGCTCATCTAATAGCGAGGGTAGAACACAGTAGGAAGATAACTCTTAAAAAGACAGTTCAATTTTATAACACAACTTATTAGAGTTGAATCTTGACCACAGATCAACTTAATTAGAAATATTACAATATGGACATAACTACGCCATGGGTGGAATAGAGCTATATGATGGATTCGTGATTAACTAACAATAACTTGAGAAAGGTAAAACATACGATGATAATTTGTGTATCAAACGAAATCTTACTAGTAGGAGGAAACTTTAAGTATTCAATAATAATGATACAACAAAAGATATAAAAAATAACTTCAGATAGAATGTCACGTAAGTTCAGCTTTGCTTGATATTCACCCCGTAATAGCACACTTATGGTAACCTAAACTGACAAACCAAATACACAGACCTTGAGATTTATTGTAACTAAACAGATTTAGTCAACCGAATACTGGAAATCAGTACAAAACTGAACCCATTATTACCTGTTACAATGAATATGACTTAAAAAAAGATTTTTAAAGATAACTGTTGAAAGGAAATTACAAATAATCAATACGAATTTATGAAAATATAACTTCTACTTGCTGATTTGAACAATCGAGTGAAATGATTGTGATATCAAAAACCCGTATCACACTTTTTGGTATCATCGTGCCACTCTGGTGTAGCAATTGAAATAATAATAAGTATAGTAAATATTTGTATATTAATAAATAATTATTACCATTTGAGGTAGTGAATTCTGAATATCCTTCTTTATTCTTAATTAGTTCTGAACAATAGCATAATTCATATTTTGATCAAGAACACCGAATAGTACCAATTTCATTAGTCCTATATTGTTTCTCAGTTATAAGATTCATTTTCATTAACTCAGAATACAGTTTGTTTTGGGAGTAAGATTAAAATTTATGACTTACAAACATGAATAAAATATAGTGATAAGTATTTTTATCGGGGATGAAATTAGTACTGTCTCACTTTAGACCATATGAGATATATCAAAGTAAATAGCTGAACTTATTCATTTTTTCATCAATCTGTGCTTCTCAATAATGCCAGAATTCCCACCACATATTCTTGTTACATCTAATTATATGTGAAGAAAGAGATGTTATTAGTAGATTTATTAAAGCATGTTAAGTACGATTGAAAATAAATAAAACACACGCACAAATCCACATGGTAGATGAGACACATGGATTTATAACTAAGATTTCAATGAATTGGGACGTTTTTATATGATTACAATTACGACACACCTTATATCCTATTGAATTTGATCACTAGAGCTTTGTTTTATTACTCGTTTAGTTTTCTTTTATCCCTTTTATTCTTTTAATTAGTTTGTAGTGTCTTTATTTATGACCTAAGAAAGAATCCCTTTGATGAGCACATTGATTAAACATCCAAAAAATATTGAAATAGATGCAGAAACTCTATCATTATACAGTAGAAGATAATATTCTCTTCTCTCAGTGGTATTTCATTCACTGAGCTAAATGGTTTGATTGTGGAGCTTTCATAGTTTCTCTGGAAAACATTATCAGGGCCTGGACCAAATAGAAAGAGGACATAACTGTATAATAATTAACCATTTCAGCTATAAATATTCGTCATAATTATTAAAAGATATTTTAATTTCCCTATCGCTTGTAACCCTGTGCAGGACTTTTAAATCTTAAATACTATTATATCAGATCAATTAAAATTTCTTATGCGCAGAATGTGGATTTGTGTCAAATCGACTCATGTAGAACATAAATTATATAAATATTAGGTGGAAATTCGGAATTTGAAAATTATATAGTTAATAGTTATTACTTCCTCAATTCCCTTCATTAACGTTTCTACTTTCAAAATATTATTGTCTTTTACCTTTTGTCGTATATGATAAGAATCAGTCAATATAGCTCTCTTATAAAATATACAATACAATAAAATCTGAAGGAAATTCAAATGAAAATTGAATATTAATAAAATATATTTTGTTAAAACAATATCAATGGTTAGCAGTGGAATCCAGGATGCACGTTTCGTCCTATTTTGGGACTCGTCGGCTGGATGTGCCTGCATCTCAGAGTTGATGTTCACTCTGGGACTCGAGTTCTAAATAGGAAGAAACGAGCGTCCTGGATTCCACTGCTAGTCACTATCCGTCTTTGCATATAATGCTTGTGAATTAAGGTTATATCGAGTCAATACGCACAGTATGCACATATGCCAATAAGAGACTGACCAATTGCAGTCCTAAACATAAATGGGAAGATTCAAACAAACAAATTCATGTGACACGCCTGCAGATTCATTTATTAATCCATATTGTTGGGAATATACACATGTTGTTGAGACATCTCTAACTAGTTTGATTTATTGTTTGTTCAGTGTTTCTTGGCTTTCAATATGGATCTTCTGACGTTGAGCGATTACAGAACTCAACGAAAAAAATATGCATTCCGTCTCAACTTTCAATTATTCTTGAATTAAAATTTTCTTTAGACGAAAAATATATTTAAGTTTATGAAATATTTAAAGAGAAGATATTTATTTGTACACTTATTAGGCCAAAACGTTTGTGAACATCATTCAGTTTACTTGTTTTCATAACAGAATGACATCAGTTAAAGAACAACCGAAAATTAAAATAGATTTGATAGCTGTTTCTTCCTGATATGAGACTTTTTAGTAGTGTATATTCAAGATTACTTGTCGGGTCAGACAAATAACCTTCAGGCTAAGTCAGAATCAACTACTTCACATTTCCAGTCTCAATATAATTCGCGATTCATCACATGATCATTCTTCAACTCTTGATGATATGTGTCTTGTTCTTGACCTGGCTATACTCTATCAATCATGGTTTTCTCTAGGACTTTTATTGTTTTTTATGAAGTTGATCACTTAGTGTGAGAATTAATTATTAAAATGTAAACAGTCTAGGTAAATAGTTCCCTTTGAAGAAGACTTCTACCACAGTTTACTACCGGTTGAATTTTACGAAAGTCAGTCATAAAATAGGAATTCCGAGCATGGCACAAATAGATGTTAATTCAAATTGATAAACCGAAAAAATCAAAATCAAATAGTGACTATGAAAATTTAATTAAAATACGGAGACAACGTCATTTAAAATTGAAAGTTAGTAGAAATAAAGTATTGTGAAATAAGAAAAAACAGATATTTATTACTTTCTAAATTTCAGTAATTTTTTAGCTTATTTAAACTAAATAAAGAAGGAACGAATTGAGCGAAGAAATTTCTTTTCAATTAGTTTTTCATCATGGCTCTACACTAATATATATACGTTTTACAATAATATAATACTCATCGAGTGGATACGTTACGTAATAATTACATAATGACATTTAAATTAACATTGAGTAATTGGAAGAGAGAGGATTATTAATATTCAAAGTAATCAAGAAGTTGCTATGTTGCGTAATATAAGAAACAAAGAAGGAATAGAATTTTACCGGATGGTCAATAGGATAGGATATGTATACACTGATGCACGTACGTGTGCGGCTGCTTCAGCTTATCTATTTTTGCCTCATCCTTCTGATTGGTTGTTAAAGTATTTCTAAATGACGGTACCCTGATTTACTTTTAATGATAGTGATTAAACATTAAATGCCACAAAATAATACAACCTCGGCCGGATGTTTCTAAAAATGTTGTTTCTATTCAGTTAATTTGTAACAAAGAAATTGTTTCGTACAGAAAAGAAGGGTGAATAAATGTCAAACTCTTGTTTATTATTGATGAGTAAAAGTAACATTGTATGTTTGAAAGACTCAGTTTTGATTATGAACTTACGTGATTCATAGAAATATTAAAACTATGTAGATAATTATACAATCGTTAATAATAATGCTGTCCATTACTCCCTAGTTTTCAACGATCCTTCATCTGGTTTTGACTAATGATGAAAACTGGCTTTGAATCCAACTAATATGAGTGTGTCTATCAATTAAATAATTCTTCACAGACTTATCTCAGTTGAGGTTCCATTATGAACCATGGATCACTGAACAGATATTGCGTTTATTCTATCGGATCCCTCGGCAGTGTACACCTACGACACCACCAGCAGTCGAATTTAGTAGTTCTGTTGTTAAGCGTTTTCTGTGAAACCTGAAGGTCTTGATTTTGGTTCCTAACAGAAATATGGACGAACACTGCTGGGGAGCGCCATATTAAGACAAAACGGCTGTCAAGCGCTCATTGATTTTTAATCGTACTCCAACTTGAAGTCGACCTGAGATGATTACAGTCTACGAATTTAATGAGACTCTACAAAACCTCTTCCACTAATCTAAGTTTAAGCCTACTTTGAATTAATTATTTATATTTCTTTGCATTCTTCTCTCACTCAAACTCAACTTCACGATTATTTGTTCTTATTTAAATCACTGATTTAGTAAGCTGTTGAGTGTTCTTACAATTTTGTTTAAAAATGTTCTAAATAATACTACTAATTCCGGTGAATTCTAGAAGTCAACCCATTCATTATACTTTTCTCAAAGTAATTAATACCGTAGCGACATTATTATAAGAATGAGAGTAACTTGACCAAGGGATCGGACGCTGATAACTCTACAGTAATCATATTTTTAGATCGATGCTGGCAGTAAGATTCAGAACATATGTTCCGCCATATTTGGCATTCATCAGTCGTATATACCTTTATCCCATCATTGATTTTCATACTGAAAGTCGAATCCAACGACTATCGATTTTAATCTTAACGCGTTATGTAATAAACTAATGATTTAGGATGACCATTATAGTGTTCAGGATAGTTAAATCTCTTAATGAATACGACATTATCCAGTCTTTGAGTTAGTATTAAAATTTACTCCTATGTATGGGATGTTAATGAAAACCCTTACACAATCACAAAAATAAACATGAATGAATCATTCATCAAGGGAAATTTTTGTACGAATGATACATACCTTGTTAATGCTATAAAACATTAGAATTCAACCTTGCAGCATAAGCTAAAAACTAGTTACGTCATTTCTAACATAAATTGATTACATCAATGTTTTTTATAATGTTTATTTGTTCTAAGAAGGATAAAGATAAGAAGTTGAAGAAAATATTTGTTAATCTTTAGTTTACTCCCGCATCAATGACATTTATTCAAGCAAACAACTTTTACTCATCTTCACCCTCCCCATTCATATTTTTTATATTGTTTTATGATTTGCTTTGCCTCCTTAAATAATGATTACGTGTAAATAAGTATGAGGTGGAATTAAAGAAGAATTACAATGCCTGATCTATATATATATATATATATATATATATATATATATATATATATATATATATATATATATATATATATATATATATATATATGACCAAGTTATCTAATTACAAGTGATGCAGGCTCAATTATATGCCCCACCACACAAATAAACAAACAATCATATACACATACACAAATTGAATCATAAATGAATTACTATCATTTTTGTTATTATCAAACTATTCTGTTGCTTGATCTTTCTCTCATCAAACTTCACACTACCATATCAATAGTCAATGAATAACAAAGTTAGGAATGTATATCAACAAACAAATGATTTTACAAGTCGATAAAAAAGATGTTGATAATTTAAATGATTGGTGATAACACTATACAGTTAATATTCTCAAATGTATTTATAAATGAATGAATAAATATTATCTACATTACAAATTTCATTTTTATATACTACTTAATCTCTTCGTCATCAATACTAATAATAATAAGTCTCTGAAACTTGCCCAGATTCACCAATAACCGAAAAAAATTACATATTAGTTTATGTAGTGAGAAAATTTCATTAAAGCAAACGATTTTCTTCACTTTCATAATATATTATAAATATGAGATTGCATTATCATCTCATTGAAGGTAAACATTCTTATCAAGATACAATTAGTCTGTAATATTCTCGATTAATTCATTTCTGACTTACTTAAAATCTATCATTATTCAATAAAAGACTGATATTTCAGCAGTGATTATCTTGAATTTTACTGTACAAATTAAGAAATTAATCCTATCAAAATAAACAGGCTATTTTCATAGAATTTCTCAGTATATTGCGACTAGAAATTATTTATGTTTTTGTCAGTCAAATTACCATAATTCAGCATTACAGTTAACCAAAATCCATCAAATCAGAAATGAAGGAAACTCTTCATTTTCATCTGAATATGAATCATGGTAAATCATAAACTGCTCGAAGCCAAAACTGTGAACAATTGGAACCCGGTATAGTTATCAGATAATATATCAATCGATAATTGCCTGAAGTTCTAGCTTCGACCCTATATGGAGATATGACTGCGTGCGTGTCTGAATATTAACAAGCCAGACAGAAACAGCTCTTTGATCATTTTGTAGTAGTTCTCAAGATGATCCCTATTAGTCATAAAAGTTTATCTTTCAGTTATAGAAAACTTGTGACTAAATGAAAAAATTAGAGCGATCTCATTAAGATGCGTGTACGGCAATAGAGACTCATCAAGTGTAGTGCTCAGCATCATATAATTAAAAATCACTAGCCCTAACAACTAAAATGCATGGCCATTGTACAAGCTATTGTCTAGCTGAACTTAGTAGCTCAGTAGATAACACGTTGGGGTTTGAAGGGAAAAATACTGGACAATATTATTGGTGTGGTCACCAACACTGGGATGCAGGTACTTCCGGCTGGTGAGTTCCGGATGGATCGAAATGTTCAACCTGGACTCCATTACTAGCTACTATCCACATTTCAGAGATGTTGTGTTGGGACAGTGCTCTAATTATTTCACTTTTATGTTTATGTCTTTTTATTATCTCAGTCACATAAATCCAGTCAAATAAATTATCTGTATGTACATTCATATTTCGTTGCAGTTTAATAAAATTAATGCTAAAAAATTATAGAATCACTGGTAATTATTTCTTTTATCTAAATTTAAAAATTATCATCAATCCACTTGGATAGGTTTCTACCTTGAATGAATTAGTATAACCAACTATATCATTGATAATTTGATGATTTTCTATTTCATCAAATCGTGAGCGTAAGAAATTTCCTAATTAGTCATTAATTACTAGTAGTAAAACCAAACAAAATTTTCAGTATTCTAAAACAGATTATTAACCAGTTTGATTGACAAAAAATAACCTTCAAAATATAATTCATGTATTTAACGACTTTGTAGATTTCATTTGTCATAAATTGACATCAGTTGATGCACTATTTTGAACGAGAGACCGTTAAGTAGAATGCCCCTCAAGTAATCGAACCTTGGGCCTTCAAGTCTCGCATAGAACACTTCATAGTCATAACTATATGAAAGAGGTCCAATAATACAATTTTAAAATCAATTAATTTACAACATAACAAGATGATTATGTAGTTCCGTTAGTGACAAACTAAATTATTAATTTTATTTTTACTAATGACCAGTTTCATGATGAATCACTGAAATATCGGTTAGAAGTCGTGACTGGTGAAGTTTGTTGATGCTAAAAGTGAGACAGTAATTCACTAAATACATAAATGTTTGGAAATTGATATTATAATTCTTAACGTTTGATTTAAACTTAGTAACATAAAAATCTTGTACATTCATTGTTGAAGATTCAGAAGATAGGACGAAACATTTATTCACTGCTTCCTATTTTTAAAAGCTTCTCATCTAATTACAATATGTACTGTTAATTATCTTCAGAATATAATTTATACTTACATTAGTAAATAATTCTCCAGAAAAAATGGTTTTAAACTGAGATTAAAATTTTCACAAATCAAACATTGGATTTTGAGATATAAGGAGAGAGATTTACTCCAAAGCTTAGAACATCTAAATTAGATTAGCCGCTTTCGTCTTTTTTATATAAGTAACAAGGAAGATCATTGAATACATAAAAATAGCTTCATTTTGTATTGTTTGTTTGAATTTATCCATTGATGTTTAGAACTGAAATTCATGGGAAGATTCAATCAAGCAATACAAACTTCGCCCCGTTGCACAAGCAAATGGCTATAAGGATCCGGTAGCTAAGTGGATAACTCAATGGCGTTTAAGGCGAACGGTATTGTGTTCAAGTCCAGGAGTGAACACCAACTATGAGATGCAGG